CTGTCCTCCTCCTCATTGTGTTCTTCTTCTTCATCCTCCTTGTCGTCTTCGTCATCGTCACCCTCCTCCCCTTCTCCTCATTCCTATCGTCGTCGTCCGCGGCCGTGTCGCCATCCCTTCCCACCCGACTCCCCGCATCCCCTTCTCGCCATTGTCCTCTAGGTCATCGTCTCTACTCCTCTCCCCGTTTTTTTTGCTTTTCAGTCAGTCAATCAATCAATCAATACCAGCCAGTACCGTTTTCCTTTTTTTTTTTTTTTTTGCTCCGAAAGCCCTCAAAATTGTTTTGGGGGGTCCCCTGGTGGTGCGCAGTCACCCACCCCCTCTTTTTTTTTTCTTTCCAGATTTGGAAAAATTAAGTTGTCCGGGATCCCGGACAACTCCCAACAGGATGTCCAGCCAGGACAACCGGCCATCGGACAACTGGTAGCCTAGGTATCGTTCCAATTGTTTTCACAGATGTCCCGGAGGACAATTCAGTTTCAATTTACATTTTCATCTTCCTATGATTTGAAGAAAGGGCCATTCAAAGGGAGGAAAGGGCTGATATGGGATGCTAGACCCGGTTTCCAGCACAGTGGTTATGTCCTGATGATTTCATGTTCAAAGATGTACATTCCCGGTTCCCAGCATGTGCTGCTCCCCACGAATAGATCGGAGCATTTTTCCAAAAATAAAGAAGAAAAAAGGCCATTTTTTTCAAGGAAATTGAAAAATTCACAGCCTTCACAACAAACAAATGTTCTTGGACAGGGCCACAGCGGAGCGAGACGAGGAGATCGATGTCATCATTACAAGAATGGAGGACGAAAACGCTGAGGCGAAGTCGCAGATGCTCAAAGAAATGCAAGAGGCAACAGCAGAGTTGCAAAAGTCCCACAGGCTAAGAATGAAAGAGATGGAAGGGGAGATAGCAAAGCTTACGTCAAAGTATCAGGAGGCACTGGAGGTATAATAATGACCCGCTCTATCACCCTTCTAACCATATTCTCTCATTCGTGTCTCGTATATCACTGGATAAGAGATAACAAGATATCTGTATGGAGAACTCTCGCTAAAGCAACGTGGCTCCGTCTTGTCTAGCCCGAACAGTCCTCTCTGTCAAACAGGCATCCTATTGCAAATACATGAGGCTTAAGTTCATGCGCCTCATTGGAACTACAGATTCACTGCTTTCATGTGCATGACTTGGCTCTTGAGGAAGTTGAGGCTCTAAGTGAACGGTAATGTACTTTGCATTCTTAGTGCCCCTCGCATTGGAACAACCATCCACCAGCCATGCATAAAAGTGTGGTTTCTTTAGGTCTTTGCCCAGACTTCACCACTTTTCTTCCTTCTGGCCCACACTTTTATGATCTCACTTCGACAGGAAGTATCTCTGAGGTTGTTGTTGCAAACAGTGTGTCCAGCAGTTTGGCGGAGATGTCCGAATTGCCGCCTTCTCGCTGTATGAGCTTCTCCTTATGTTTTAAATTTGAAGTTTCCTCCTCCTTTCTCAGTTCAAATTCCAAAACTACTCTCTCTCTCTCTCTCTCTCTCTCTCTCTCTCTCTCTCTCTCTCTCTCTCTCTCTCTCTCTCTCTCT